TAGGATTGGCTTGGCACATCTTATAGCACAATTTATAGTTCCCCCGTTCCCGCGCTTAGCCCCTGTTGCTTGGTTACAGATTACCCGCAGTAATCCCCCCCCCTCACTCAAATGGCAGATCCAGTCCAGTTCTTTTGTGTTCTTGACTGCTTTTTATCGATGGTGTGGTTGTTGTCTTTGTTGGGTCTTTCTGTTGTGCGCAAAGCGGGGAGTTCTCAATCACCGCTGATTGCTTTGCTTCCAAGCCGCTGCGCTCCCCTTTGTCTGCAGCGCCTGAGGCAAATTGGCGTTGACACAAAATATCCGCTTGTGGTTTAGTTAAGTGGCGCCAGCTGGCCCATTAATCAGTTCGTGGTTTCTCACTTCCCCTTTTCCTCTGCTAGCACTGGGGCGGTGAAACTGACTAAGAGCAGCCCATCTTGCACTCATCTTGCTTTTACAAGCGGCTCTGAGCAGCTTACAATGTTCTTTATATACTAACAATTACATATTAACAATTACATTAACTAAACTTGGCCAGCAGCGGTTGCAGGGGAGTCAGATCATCCGGGCTTTCTTCCTCCGCTGGTCTTCCGTTGATTGTGTCGCGTCTTCCGCTGATCGCATCTAGGCAGGTCCAGCAACTGGTTCCTGTCACCCGTCCAAAGCACTGCCAGCGTTTCCTCCCACTGAAATGGGAGTACCTATTTATCTACTCGCAGATGGTATGCTTTTGAACTGCTAGGTGAGCAGGAGGTAGGGACGAATGACAGGAGCTCACCCCATCACGTGGAGCTGGGCTTGAACCACTGGAGTGTCGACCATTTCTAGCTGGCAACTCCAGCATCATTCAGCCACTACTCCACCGCGTCCCCCTTTGCCTTGATACAAAGGCAAAAGAAAAGCAGAAGCATATGCATCCAAAAATTTCTTCCTGTTTGGCTTATTAAGCCATTATATTGATAACTGGAACCATGTCAAAGAGTCTTACTGTTCATTGAAGATTAATACATCAAATGTACAGGTAATCCTTGCTTAATGACCCTAATTTGGACTGGCAACTCAGCTGCTAAGCCGAAGCAGTCACTAAGTGGGAAATCAATGACCGCAACTGTGCTTTCCAGCTGGAAAGAGACAAGACTACTCAGTTTCACACCTTTGGCTTTTGTTTGCCTAACCATTCCCCTGCTCTTTGGAATGCCTGCTTACTGTCTTGTACACATCAAAAGCAATGCGATTGCATTGCAGCCCAGGGCTGAGAGCCACAGGTGCACTATGCAAACAGCTTACTTTCTTGAAATTCCTTTCTCTCCAATCTCTCCACTTTGCAAGGGGGGGAGAGAAAAAAAGCAAGTGATTTCTGTAGGCAATCTCTCCTTTGCCTGACCTTTCCCCCCTCACCTGCAGAGCAGAGAGACAGTGGAGAGGAAGAGATTTCAAGAGGGTACGCTTGTACACACTAAGAGCAATGCAATTGTACCAGCAGCGGGAAAGGCAAAGGAGAGATTGCCTACAGAAATTGCTTGCTTTTTTTCTTTCTCCCTCCCTTGCAGAGCTGAGAGATTGGAGAGAAAGAGATTTTAAGAGAGTAAGGTAAGCTGTTTGCTCCACACCTGCGGCTCCCAGCCCCGATTGCTTTTGATGTCTAGAATAGCAAACAGCTTACTTTCTTGCAATCCCTTTCTCTCTAATCAATCTACTCTGCAAGGTGGGGGGGAACCACAGGTCAGGCACAAGACAACGCATACTGACTGCAATGGCAATCACGTAACTGAAGGATGCTGCAAAAGTCATGAATGGGCTGTGAAGTTATTTTTTCAGCACCATCGTAACTTGAATGGTTGTTGAACAAATGGTCGGTAAGCAAGGACTACCTGTAGTATGCATTTTTATGAAGCAGAATCTGTAGGATAGGCAACAACCTGTTTGCATCCAATACCCTTTTTATTACTTTATTTTTGTTTATTTTATTTTACACTATGCTACATTGTTATCACCTGTGGCTACAACAATAAACTTTTTTACATATAGATATATAAATTTATATGTTCAGGAAATTACAGAAAAGGCAAGATTTCATCTTCTCTGTGTTCTCTGTTTTACGTTCAGCATTATGAATTCAGAAATCTTGAATCACTGCATTATGTTAAGAACAGAAATGTCCATGAGTCGACAGTATAATTATTAATTTGGTGACCTTCTATCAGAAGTTGACAATTGGTAATCAAAATTATTACTATTCACATGTTTGCATTAAGTCCAGCGCGCTCTATAATCTAAGTAGATTTTCTTAATGGAAAAGTATATATTAGATTTCATCGGTAGAGTATTCTTTCGGGCCACTTATTGAAGATACATCTTTTTACAGTACTTTTATGGAACACATTAGTTAAGGATTTTTTTTTTTTGCAGTTACCTCATCGCCGAGTGACATTCTCTGCAGCCAATCAAGCTCAAGATCTGCAGGATTCTATAATCTAAGTAGATTTTCTTAATGGAAAAGTATATATTAGATTTCATCGGTAGAGTATTCTTTCGGGCCACTTATTGAAGATACATCTTTTTACAGTACTTTTATGGAACACATTAGTTAAGGATTTTTTTTTTTTGCAGTTACCTCATCGCCGAGTGACATTCTCTGCAGCCAATCAAGCTCAAGATCTGCAGGATCCCTCCCAGCACAGTTACTATGACAGTGGTCTTGAAGAGTCAGAAACACCAAGCAGCAAATCTTCATCAGGGCCTCGGATTGGGCCTCTGGCTCTACCTGAGGACCACTATGAGCGCACCACACCTGACGGCAGCATTGGGGAGATGGAACACCCTGAGAATGGTAAGAAACTTACAGCAAATTAGAAGGACCTCTAATAAAGTACATCTAAGAGTCCATATTACTTTTACCCAAGAATGAGATTGGGACCTAATAATTCATCATGCTGGAAAAATACTTCAGCAGTAGTTTATATTGCAGATCACTGGAACAGACTGACTTCCACAGAAAAATATTCAATGAAAGAATGAAATTCAATAAAATAAAAAAAAGAAAGCGAAGGTATACTGAAATAAGGGTTTTAGGTCTGAACAATTGTCAGTACATGAGTGCTTTCACCCCACTCTGTACCATAGATTTTCTATGCTCTGTAGGCCCTCCTTCTCACATAGAGAGGGCGTCTTTAAGGTCATTATTTTGGGGTAGTGAGTAAAAAATATTTCTTGTTAATGAGACATTAACTACTCCTTGGATCCAAGCAGTTAAATCCCTCTTAGATCTTATCCACCATGAGAAGCAAAGATCAAGAGAATGTTTGGATGGCCTAAAGCTTACAAGTATCTTGTTTGCTTCCTCAAGCTGCAAACAGAAATTATGCCCACAGACTCTGACCAGAGCGTATCACCAGTCCTGCAGTGCTATATCACTGAAATTAATGCAAGTGACTGTTCTTTCAAAGCACTGTTTTATAGTAAACTGTTTACCACTTGAGATCTACTTGGACAGTTATTTTGGCATCTTATGAGAGAGCCAGTTTGGCGTAGTGGTTAGGGCACCAGGCCACAAACTGGAAGACCATGAGTTTTAAACCCTACTGGTGCTACACTCAGTATAGATCAGCACAGCAGACTCAGATCTGGGCCATCTAACTCTGTTAATTCATGTCTTGGTAAAATATATCAGGTTTTCCTCTTCATCTGATCAGATTGTAGATGAGTATGATTCATAGTATGTCTTATTAGAGACTGATATACCATTAAGTGTATATAAGGACAGAAGGTGACAAGGTGGAAACCAATGATTCTTAAGCTGAACCAAGCCTTTTATGTAAATTTTAAGCAGATGTCTCTGAATCTTTAGAACAGGACGAAGTTGATCAAATTTCCTTTGACTTGAAAAGGGAAATCCCTAGAATATAAACCATAGACGTAGGCAGGCAGACAGACAGGTAGATGGCTTGATCTTTCTGTTTGGCAGTATATGGCTTCTGCTTTTTCTGCTAAAAAGCTACTTATCTAGCTATGTGTTATCTATAGGCTTTTGCTGTAAGTTCCTTATGAGGTAAAGCATCTGGAGAGTTGAGATTTATTGCCATGCCTGGCATGAAGTCTGACACAGTACTGCGGGAGGAAAGGAAAGGCCTGCTGGAAGGGAATGGAAACTAGAGAATATCTGTTCCTTTACCGTCCTTTCCTTAACATTCACACATGCACTCCTATTACTCTTCTAAAGGTAGCAGCCAGAAGTCTCTCCATTCACCTTCATTACTCAACAACACATCAATTCTAGGACCAAAAACCCAATCTGCAACAGATACAGGTAGTCCTTGCTTACCGACTGCCTTGTGCAGTGACTATTTGAAGTTACAACAGTGCTAAAAAAATAACTTTGCAATTAATCCTTGCATTTACAACCATTGCAGCATCCTGTGGTCATGTGATTGCCATTTGTGTGCTTCGCAATTAGCACACATTTACAACTGTTGCAGCATCCCACATTCGCCTGATTGCCATTTATGTGCTTCATAACCGGCTTGCGACAAGCAGAGTTAATACAGAAAGCAGAAGTAAAATTGTAAGTTGTGGTCACATGATTTTTCACTTAGCGACCATGGCGCTTCACTTAACAACTGAAGGGGAAGTTAACATCGCTGGGGTCACATTATTTTCCGCTTAGTGACGGTGGCACTTAGCAACTAAGTTGCCAGTCCCAGTTGTGGTTGCTAAGCAAAGACTACCTGTAATGCATAATATTATTAATACATATCTAGACTACTTTTCTGTTTAGGGATGTAGCATTTTGCAGTTGAAAATCATGATTTACCAGGAAAAAAAGGAATGGATTAGAAAGAGAAGAACATTCACATATTAATTCTTTCACCATGCAGTGCCATAAGTTACATAAGGAAGAATGGCTGCTACAAGGGACAGTTCTGAAAAGGAAGGATAGTCCCAAATAGCAGGTGCCTTAGTCAAGCCAGTGCAGGGGAGCTAGCTTCTTTGATGCAGCCAGTGGATGCATGAAAGCTGTTCTGTATCATCTCCACCAACTGTTTTAGCATAGTAACATGCCTAAGGCCAGCCAAGTTCTCTGCATGTTGAACTTCTTTCCTAGAATCATTATATCCCATGGTAACTGCTGAGCTATCTTAAGTTTGTAGCAGAAAACAGCATTACTATTTCTTATAACATCCACTTGGATGCAAAGATTTTTTCATTCCTGCAACCTCTTCATTTCATCTTCATCTTTGATTTTAATGTTAAAAATGTCAATATAGTATACAATGAAAACAAATCATAAGGCTCAGATTGCAAGTTTATAATGCTAAGAATGATTGACGTACAAAGGAAACTGATCAAGTATTTTCCCCATGAAATTTATTTGATTCAAGAAACACCATCTGTTTTTCCTTTCACTGTTGTCTCTGAAGTAAATGTGTTGTTTTCTGAAGATTGAAAGAGAGCTGTCATCATTTTTGGATCTATCCCTCCCAGGCTCAGTACAAAGGGCCAGCTGCTGATGAGGTTCCTCACTGTGTGGGCCCAGCATTTCCTTCACATCTATCCTGCTTAGTAATTAGTGAATGAGTTTTCAGCTTAGCTCCAGGACCTCCTTTTACTTTGAATTTTATTTTATTTTCCAAATTCCACTTTTGTTAAGTTGGGTCTTTTCCTTTTCCCCCAACTGAAAGGGGAGAAACAAGGGTGTGGCACCTCATGACAGGCAGACAGACTACTTTAAGGAAGTAAAGGCTGAGACTGGTTATGCTGAAATCAGAGCAAGAGATAGTAAACAGCGTGTTTTTCAACAGAAGATTTTCAAAGAACTGCAGGTAACTATTTGCCACACAGAAGATGTTCAGTTCCTCACAAATTTGACCAGGCTGCAGATCACCAAAGTAAGAGGAAGATGCTGTAATGAAAGAATGACCATGAAAGCTAATGTCTGTTTCCCCATGAGATTGTTCTGCTATGTGCTTTACAGTATGAAGGGCAAATCTGAATAGCATCCGTATTTCCCCCAGCATGTTAGTAGGGCACATCAGAGAAACTGCGCACTACTGATCTATCTGAGAGCCAAGAGACTGAATGAAGACGACTGAGTAAATTTAGCCAACATGGCTACTCTGTTACTCTCTATTCATCATATTCAAATAATTACTGCACTTAGAGTGGCCAACCCAAAGTTATTGTGAGGCTACACAGAGAAGATGTGCTTGCACACAAGCTGTCCCATGGTAATTATAGATGGAAACCTTTCTGACTTCATCTTGCACAAGTCATTCAGAAATATAGGTTAATTAATTCATTGCTTGCTATCTGTTTCTCAGTCCTTTGGACTGCCATTTTACCAAATCCAAATCAAATGTGGTGTATCTTCTAATAAATATGCAGACCTTCTTAAATTGGTCACCCTGTTTTGTTTGTTTGTTTGTTTCTGAATCAAACCTAATCAATGGGTTAGGTCCCTTGATTTTTTTGTGTTTAACTTTTAACTTTTGTGTTTAACTTTTTGCCTTTCTAGGTTTTTTGTTTAACTTTTTGCCTTTCTAGGTTTTCATACTGTAACTCTAACAACTCCCTCCTGTAGTGTTTTTCCCTGCTAGTTGAAATTTGATTTCAGCTTTCTTCTGTCCTGTCTTAATTCTTGTCGTAGGTGTTCTGTTCCTTTGAGAAATTACAAGAGCAAATTATACTCCAATTTAAGAAAAGCCCACACTAGTCAATATGCTGATTAACAAAATTAAATTAAAATAAAACCGCAGGTGATATGCACCAGCATCCACAGGGAGCTCAAAACAGACACAATAGTGGATGTCCTGCTCCTTTTGTTCACACATGCAGACATTTAAAAGAGACAAGGCTTGGATTGCAGCATCATGTCCACTATCCTTCTGATTTTAAGAATATAGAGGGTACGCTGATCCATTGTATATCTATCCTCCCTAAATTCTGTATGCTCAGAATACAGAATTTATGGCTATTTTTGCTTGGTCCAACGACATACAAGAAGCGGACATATAAATTGCTAGGCATGCTTAATAGGCTAACTGGATAGTAATGTAGAGGATTTGTGCTGCTCCTGTAACATGGGTATAGTTACAGATTGAATCCAGTCACCTGGCATTTGGAGTACAGTGTATTGTTAATATGCGAGAAAAGGGAGGCCAAGACAAGTGCTCACCAATCTGCATTTCCCTTCGGTAACTCTGGTAACATTAGGTCACAGCCATGCTTTCCCACTTTTCAGTTGGTTAATTAATTTAAGAATCTGAGTGAGACCAGGGGGAGGGAGAGAGGGGATATTGTGCGAAGTCTCATATGAAAACTGGCAGATAGAAAGGGGAGAGCTATAAAGTGTGCTGTAGAACCCTCCATCTGGCAGCTGGAATCTTAGCCTCCAAGCAGTTTCCCCTGATTTGACGAGTAAGCAATTAGTTCCAAAACAGGAGGTATTCTTGTCTTTCATGGCCTGAAAAAGAATGTGGCTCTCAATTTGTGCAAAAGCTTGTGTTGTTTTTTTTTCTTTTTAATTAGATTTTTAATAAAACTTTCTGGATGCTTAACTGATTTCTGGCATGTGGGCAGTTACTTGATCTGTAAATTTTAAAAGGTGTCATTAATCCTGCTGTAGTAGATATACAATCCTGATCAAAGCAGGGTTTCTGAAGGTAGAGGCAGGTCTTCTCCTAGCATTTACATAGAGTCATGAATATAAGATGGGCATACATTTACTAAACAAATAAATAAAGAATATTGGGGGGGATTTTTTTAATAATGGCTAGATAGTGTTTATGAAATCTTTATATTGACTGGGCCCTCTGCTGAATTTGAGGTTGATAG